TGTCCAAGTATAGATTATTCATTAGTATGAACAATTTTCATTAAGATTTTTAAGGTTAACCACATTACAATGATTTTGAAATACAAAGACGATATTAGATATATTTTTGTATATATATATATATATGTTTTTAAAGGATTTTAGAAATTCTCCCGCGACCCCATATCAGGCGACCCCGCATGGGTCGCGACACCTAGTTTGGGAACCGCTGATCTAGGGTTTACCAAGAATGGTGCGACAAACAAAAAACATTCAGTCAGTGGCAGTCATTTGGGCGAAAACAGCTCATTGATGAGAGAGGTTGAAGGAGAATGACGTTTTTTTTTGCACTGTACTGTAGTATCTGAACATTTATAGCTTTGGATGAGGTTTTCATATTGTTGGTTAAATGAACTCTACTTTGCTTTGCTGAAACATCTGGAAAGTATTACTATAGGGGCCCCCTAAGACAGTGGAAATTGGGATATGTGGAGGCCAGGGATTGGCCTATTCAAAACACGCCATCTTGTGTTACATAGGATATATACCATGTTTGAACAAAGGGACGGGAAGAGTGATCATATTTGAGATTGGGTTTGTTGCTCTCCACATTCTGCAGAAGTCTATACATTGATGCTGAAATCTTTTGATATAATAAACCTTTATAATCAAAGTACAGTGTCAGCGGATTCCTTGTCAACACAGCATCTCAGCATCGTTGTTCGGCCACCACAGTACCCAATGATTTATGAAAACTTACTTGATAGGTTGATGTCCTCATTGTGGTTTTATAGACGTGTTTAATACGTTTTATGCACACACTTTATTAGAATACTCATGAAATTCACATTGTTATGTTTGGTAACACTTGCTTATTTTCCCTCGACTCTAACCCCATTCGATGCATTGAGCGGATGTGGGTGGAGCAATGTCTACATAAGGGTGCAAATTATGAGCACTCACGAAAGCTCTGACGAAGGCCTTGAGGCCAATACGTAAAGCTTAATAAGGAGCAGTGATACTAGCAAGAGCAGTGTGTGGGTTCCTTCTTTTTTCTCATCTTATTGAACTGTTACCATGCACCTGCAACAAAGATCGCTCAGATGTGCGAGTGCCTTTTGAATATTGCCAAATTCATCTGTAAAAGTACACCATGGAGATTTATGCTTGTGGTCTAGTGACCATTTTGAGAAATCAAATGAAAGTTCTCTGAATCATACTAGACACCTTAATAATGCATAATATACTGAACACAAATATAAACACTACATGTCATGTGTTGGTCCCATGTTTCATGAGCTAAAATAAAAGATCCCAGATATTGTCCATATGCACAAAAAGCTTATTTTCTCATATTTTGTACACAAATTTGTTTACATCCCTCTTAGTGAGCATTTCTCCTTTGCCAAGATAATCCATCCAAATTGGTCCAATTCACACACTTTTCAAGAGAACACTTGATCATCCCTACTGCCTTTGATCTGGCGGACTCACTAAACACAATGCATCTTTCATAAATTATGTCTGAGTGTTGGAGTATGCCCCTGGCTATCCAAATATTTAAAAAACAAGAAAATGGTGCCATCTGCTTTGCTTAATATAAGGAATTTGAAATGATTTTTACTATAAATTGATACTTAAGTATATTTTAGCAATTACATTTACTTTTGATACTTACTGCAAGTATATTTACAACCAAATACTTTTAGACTTTTACTCAAGTAGTATTTAACTGGGTGACTTTCACTTTTACTTGAGTAACTTTCTATTAAGGTACGTATACTTTTACTCAAGTATGACAATTGGGTACTTTTTCCACCAATGTCTAAAATGTGCAGTTTAGTCACACAACACAACGCCACAGATGTCTCAAGTTTTGAGGAAGCGTGCAATTGGCACGCTGACTGCAGGAATGTCCACCAGAGCTGTTGCCAGATAATTGAATGTTCATTTATTTACCATAAGCCGCCTCCAATGTCGTTTTAGTGAATTTGGCAGTACGTCCAACCGGCCTCACAACCGCAGACCACGTGTAACCACGCCAGCCCAGGACCTCCACATCCAGCTTCTTCACCTGCGGGATTGTCTGAGAACAGCCACCTGAACAGCTGATGAAACTGTGGGTTTGCACAACCGAAGAATTTCTGCACAAATTGTCAGAAACCGTATCAGGGAAGCTCATCTGCGTGCTCATGATCCTCAACAGGGTCTTGACCTGATTGCAGTTCGGTGTCGTAACCGACTTGAGTGGACAAACGCTCACCTTCGATAGCCACTGGCACACGTGAGGTGTGTGCTCAACACGGCTGAATCCCGGTTTCAACTGTACCGGACAGATGGCAGACGTGTGGGTGAGCGGTTTGCTGATGTCAACGTTTTGAATCGAGTGCCCCATGGTGGCAGTGGGGTTATGGTATGGGCAGGCATACAGTGGCTTGCGAAAGTATTCACCCCCCCCTTGGCATTTTTCCTATTTTGTTGCCTTATAACCTGGAATTAAAATGGAAATTTTGGGGGTTTGTATCATTTGATTTACACAACATGCCTACCACTTTGAAGATGCAAAATATATATTTTTTTTTTATGAAGAAATAAGACAAAAAAACTGAACTTGAGCGTGCATAACTATTCATCCCACCAAAGTCAATACTTTGTAGAGCCACCTTTTGCAGCAATTACAGCTGCAAGTCTCTTGGGGTATGTCTCTATAAGCTTGGCACATCTAGCCACAGGGATTTTTGCCCATTCTTCAAGACAAAACTGCTCCAGCTCCTTCAAGTTGGATGGGTTCCACTGGTGTACAGCAATCTTTAAGTCATACCACAGATTCTCAATTGGATTGAGGTCTGGGCTTTGACTAGGCCATTCCAAGTCATTTAAATGTTTCCCCTTAAACCACTTGAGTGTTGCTTTAGCAGTATAATTAGGGTCATTGTCCTGCTGGAAGGTGAACCTCCATCCCAGTCTCAAATCTCTGGAAGACTGAAACAGGTTTCCCTCTAGAATTTCCCTGCATTTAGCGCCATCCATCATTCCTTCAATTCTGACCAGTTTCCCAGTCCCTGCCGATGAGGGGTGATGAGAGGTGTTAGGTTTGCGCCAGACATTTTCCTTGATGGCCAAAAAGCTCAATTTCAGTCTCATCTGACCAGAGTACCTTCTTCCATATGTTTGTGGAGTCTCCCACATGCCTTTTGGCGAACACCAAATGTGTTTGCTTATTTTTTTCTTTAAGCAATGGCTTTTTTCTGGCCACTCTTCTGTAAAGCCCAGCTCTGTGGAGTGTACGGCTTAAAGTGGTCCTATGGACAGATACTCCAATCTCCGCTGTGGAGCTTTGCAGCTCCTTCAGGGTTATCTTTGGTCTCTTTGTTGCCTCTCTGATTAATGCCCTCCTTGCCTGGTCTGTGACTTTTGGTGGGCAGCCCTCTCTTGGCAGGTTTGTTGTGGTGCCATATTCTTTCCATTTTTTAATAATGGATTTAATGGTGCTCCGTGGGATGTTCAAAGTTTCTGATATTTTTTTATAACCCAACCCTGATCTGAACACAAATTTGTCCCTGACCTGTTTGGAGAGCTCCTTGGTCTTCATGGTGCCGCTTGCTTTGTGGTGCCCCTTGCTTAGTGGTGTTGCAGACTCTGGGACCTTTCAGAACAGGTGTATATATACTGAGATTATGTGACTAATCATGTGACACTTAGATTGCACACAGGTGGACTTTATTTAACTAATGTTTTGACTTCTGAAGGTAATTGGTTGCACCAGAACTTATTTAGGGGCTTCATAGCAAAGGGCGTGAATACATATGCACGCACCACTTTTCCGTTATTTATTTGTTAGAAATCTTTGAAACAAGTAATTTTTTTGGGACTATTTTGTGTATGTCCATTACATGAAATCCAAATAAAAATCTATTTAAATTACAGGTTGTAATGCAACAAAATAGGAAAAACGCCAAGGGGGATGAATACTTTTGCAAGGCACTGTAAGCTGCGGCCAAAGAAGACAATTGCATTTTATCGATGGCAATTTGAATGCACAGATACCGTGACGAGATCCTGAGGCCCATTGTCATGCCATTTTTCTGCCGCCATCACCTCATGTTTCAGCATGACAATGCATGGCCCCATGTCGCAAGGATCTGTACACAATTCCTGGAAGCTGAAAATGTTCCAGTTCTTCCATGGCCTGCATACTCACTAGACATGTCACCCATTGAGCATGTTCAAGATGCTCTTGATCGACGTGTACGACAGCGTATTCCAGTTCCCGCCAATATTCAGAAACTTCGCACAGCCATTGAAGAGACGTCTATGAATCACAAGTTTGGACATCAAAGTACAGCACAGTACAGCACAGTAGAGTTCAGTATAGTATAGTCAAGTAGAGTATAGTTCAGTACAGTACAGTAGAGTTCAGTACAGGATAATAAATTATAGTGTACTCAACTCTAGTGAGCTCTACTGTGTACTCTACTCCACTCTATTCTATTCTACTCTACTGTACAGTACAGGACTGAACTATACTCCACTTGACTATACTGTACCTGTACTGTACTGAACTATACTCTACTTTTCTTTACTGTACTGTACTCTACTGTAATGTACTGTAATGTCCAAATGTGTGAAACATTGACGTCTATGATTGGGCCAAATGAAGGCCGGTCCAGACGTCTGTGGACATTGAAATCAAGGCCAGGGCGGACTGAACAATTTTCTACTTTTCAACCTCCATAGACATCCGGTGTCGTTTGGTGCTCAGTGGGTGAGGATGCTAGTTACAGTAAATGGAGAGATAGAGAGAGAGAGAGATAGGAGAGGGAGGGAGAGAGAGAGGGGTTGTCCAGACTTTTAACACTCTTGCTTTGACCACCAGACGACAGAAAAAGAA